ACACTGTTGGGTACTGTTGTGGTGTCAGGGGACTGCACATAAACTGTTGTTGCGTGTAAGGACCGTTACACGTTGCCATATGGCCGCGGTCGAGTGAGGATTGGAGGGGTAATCAAGCTGGGTATCGTAGGGGGTTAGTCCCGACTTTTGAACTCGGCTGCTGACTTTGACTTGACCAAACTGTCATATTGGCTGCCATTGTGAGGCCCTCAGGCGTTGAAGGTACCAAGGCCCTCTCCTGCGAGTCTGAGAGCACCTCTCTTGGATCTGAGAGACTGAAATCCTCTACTTCTGCCTTTCTTACTCTAAGTCTAGTCCACTGGTTCTGAGAGGAAGGCGGCAGGCGGGATTGCAACCCGTAATCCGCGCCAAGGCCTTTGTGGGAGGTTGCCCCACCGATTGCGGGAGCTCTGCCGGAACTCAGGAGGAGTTCTGGAGGCAGGGAACTGATAGGTAACCATTATCTTCTCTCTATAAACCCAGTTATAAACCATATCTGTACTACTCATTGCATCGCTGACAGAATATATGAGGTGCAGCCCTACTCTGTTTCTTCGTTTGACTTTCAGGACACTGAACAAGACTAAGTAAAGGAATGTCTGTTCAAGTTCAGTTTCAACTTTATTGATTGTATGAATTCAGATTGCTGAAAAGAACTGCATCTGGGGAAAGGCAGGATGGTGGTATGATTTGCATGATGTTGGACTGGGTCATTAAGGTTGGGGTGTCCCCATAAGTTTGGGGAACCCCAGTGCTTTGTTTTATTTTGGTTTTGCATGAAGAAGTCAGACCCTTCTATAAGTTTAGAGGGTCTGATTACTCTGGAGGCTAGGATGTCCCCATAAGTTTGGGGAGACCTAGTGTTGTAGTGTGCATGGGGGGTCAGGCTGTTCTATAAGTTTGGGTGTACTGGCTGCTCTGACATGTGAGGGGTTTGATTGTACTTGATTTTCAGGGACTCGGGGCATTCAATAAGTTTTAGTACCTTGGGTTGCCTTGTTTTCATTGGGGTTTTATCTGTTTCTTTGGTTTCTGAACGAGGAGGTCTGAGCTGTTATATAAGTTTAGGTGGCTCAGCCTGTTCCTGTTCTTTATTCTGAAGAAATAACCTTGGCAAAGGGGCAGATCCTTCTGTAAGTTCAGGGAGTCTGACTCGATGCTACACACATGATGATTCAGAGAGAAAAGAAATTGGCAGAGAGTTAGATCCTTCTGTAAGTTCAAGGGGTCTGGCTCAAGACCTCGCATATGCTGAAACCCAATGGTTATAACTTGGCTGTACTTTACTACTATTCTATCTAAGAACGAGTTAATCAGACTGTTCTATAAGTTTAGGTGGTCTGACTTGAAGAGAGCATAACTAAAAATAAAACTGGTAGTAAACGAGGGCGGACTGAACTTAAGTTAGTTCAGTCATATGCAGCCTTAGAAGACAAGGGTGAAGACAAGTATATATAACTTGGATACTTTAAACAGTTCAGGGCGACTAGAGTGGTCTAGTCATGTGCCCAAAGAAGAGAAAAGTAGTTGTGCCCTCCGTTTGTGTATATTTGGCCAAGTCGGAACGCTCTATAAGTTTAGGTATTCTGACTCTAGGCCTCGCTAAGTTGGGCGCGCTCTGTAAGTTCAGGCGGCCTGACCTATGGCTTATGTAAGCTGGGTATAAAGGGTTAAATCATTGAGAGATTATGAACTATTGTTTGTTCAGGTTGACTTGGGACTGACGAGAGTACTTACTTATGTGGTTTGACCTGCATGTGACTGAGTGAGGTTACTACTTAGTCTAAGTTTCAGATTGATAGGTAGTAGCTTTAATTGTTCGCCACGTGCAAGAACCATAGGAGTTAGTGTCAATTCCTGCATTTTCTGTAGTAACTTTTTTTACTTAGATCAATTCTGACATTTTATGGGATCTTTTTGTATACTTGGTTTGTATATATCTTGGCAAACTACTTTCTCTACGGGAAGTGTTGCCGAAATTTTTACAAATCCAAGGAGTTAGTTGAATTTTGACTTGTCAAAAGTTCGACTTTGTCTTTTCTTATATCTGACTTAGTAAAAATCTGGAAAGTCTCATTTTTTAAAGGGAGTGCTGCCCAAATTTTCGCTAATTCAGGTTGTTAGACAAAATTGGACTTTGAAAAGTCAAAATTACTTTCAAATTCTGGACTTAGCCTTGTATAAATTTTGGAATAGCACTTTTCTAAAGGGAGTGCTGCCGGAATTTCTACAAAACTAAGGAGTTGGTCAAATCTTGCCTAAGTTGAACTCAAGTCGTCTTTTGAGTTCATATCTTACTCAATGAAAATCTGGGAAGTCTCCCTTTCTAGAGGGAGTGCTGCCCAAATTTCTACTAATTCAGGGAGTTTGACAAAATTGGACTTTCCAGAGTTAAAATTTATCTCTGCTTTTATATTTAGACTTATATAAATTATGAAAAGACACTTTTCCTATGGGAAACGTTGCCGAAATTTTCTTAGTTTAAAGGAGACCGATTATATTTTTGACAGGTGGCAATTTTGATAGTCCACTCTGATTAGGGGAGATTTTTACCATACTGCTCAGAGATAGGTTTAGATACAGTTAACTAAGGATGACTTGGATAAGATCACGATATGAAGACTGTTCTTCATGAACTTATAGAATTCAGCCTGGGGCATTGACCTGTCATGTGTTACAAGCCCTCTTGATCGTTTGATTCAAGATCTGGACTAGATTCAACTTAATCCCTTGAGGATCATCATCTGTTATCACTGATAACAGGTCGGTTGTCGATTCGTCGGTCTACGACTCAATTCCAACTTACCCTCCGTACTCAACCTAAAAAGCTTTAGCCCTGGTGATTTCATTGTTTCATTAAGGTTTCACCCGGACTTTTATTGAATGGCCATTTAACAAAGGTACTGAGTATTTAATTAAGGTCGGTTGGACAGGAGGTAGAGGCTTGCATGGCTAAAATAAGGGGTATGAGTGTCGAGGATGGTTGGGGTTGACTCCGTGTAGTGCGTGGGTTGTTGATTTGACTCGTTGATGTGATTGCAGGTATATGCTGTGAATCAGATTCTGGATTTGGTTGCCAGCGATCACATATATACGTATGATTGTGAGGGACCCCAATGAGACTGTGAGAAGTGATCGTCACGTACTTAGCCCCTTATATATGCACACATGGGTGTTCTAGGGATGAATGTTTGCATTGGCTAAAGGGCCACGTACTAAAAACCTGCTCAGGGGTTAAGACTGAGAGGCCTAGGGAAGACCCTTCATTTTATTTGCTTTGCTTCTTAAGGATTTTCTTAGTCAGACGTTGGTCCTCGGCTGGGATTCAAGGTCCTTGTCCAGGACATCCCAAACCCTAGGCCCTGCAGGGGAGGGATTCGCCCTCGCACAAAGCTTATTCGCATTGCCCGTCGAGGCACCCTACCCTGAAGGCGGAAATGCCGCGAAGGCCGAACGGCATGTCCTTCAGCTGTTCAATATCGTGTGGGGTAATCCCTCACAATATATTCCTTCAACCATTCAATATCACGAGGCCGGAGCTGTGATTACTAGGTATGGTTGGCATCATTTGGTCGGTATGAGACTGACCCACAACTGTGCGGCTTTATATTAGAATCCCGCGCGTGACGTTTTGCCGCCCTAGAGTTTAAAAGTTATAGGATCAAAAGGGACCCGCACATACGCGCGAACGCTTGGGATTACTACAGGCCGCTGACACTATCCGAAAAGGGAAGAGTATCTCAAGGCTTTGTTTCCTTTTTTGGGATAAAGGTGACCTTAGGTATATTTTGTGTTTTTTAAGATTTATAGTTGGACGTTGTAGTCCGTGGCTGCCGTCAAAGTGAAAACCCCTTGACTTTTGTCAGACCTGGTGTAGGACTCGTCTCCAGGGCCGCAAAAAAACGACTGCCACCACAGGTATGGACCTGTGTACCACCCGCTCTGCACAGAGTGCAGAAGAGGGTGTGTGGTCTTCAACCGCGCTTGGCGGTTGTCCAACGTCGAGAGATTAACCCGCAAGGAGCGTGTCAGCCGACACTTGAGTGTCGAATGCGACCCTCGTGATCAACGAGGACCGCATAAGTATGGGTACTACATGGTACGCCATCATTGCGACCGCTTGCGTACGATTGCATTGCTAGTCGATATGGGTTAGCCCTGCGTCCGTGCGGTTTTATATCAAGACTCGCGCACGACGCCTATCCGATTTCCGCGTCGGAAAGTTATGGGATGGCTACCGAGGGGCTAGGAGCGTTGTCGCGTTGTTTGTGTTGTGTCGTTTCGTATGTGTTGTTTTGTGTATATGTGTGTTCATAAAGTGGAGTGCGTGTGGTGTGTGGGATGCGTTTTAGTCGACCGACGACGAGCCGCGCTTGGGACTTCAGCCCCCCATGATGCCGGTTCGCGTGCGGGTCCGATAGAGGCGCATTACCGCGCGTACCCCCTATGCTACAGCGAACAAGAAACGCCCTCGGCCGGTCCACCTCTGCGATTGCAACTGATTAGCTTCCGTACTGTGGACCGGTAGCTCGGCGGGGATACACCCACCGAAGGGAGGTGACAACTCCCGTAAGGTGGAAGTAAGTCGTGCCTCGCGTAGGCCCTATCCTGTCGTAGGGGCTCGCGAGAGGTATGGCTTGCGCACTCGGCCGGAGCGGCTTGCGGAAGCTCCATATATATTTGCGACGAGGATTTAGACCAACTCCTGCGTGACGAGGCCGGGAGGGTCTCGCGCTGCCCTGGTGCGGTGCCGGACCGATGCGCTCGACAGGTGGCGCCGTCGCTGGGGATAACGGAAAGCCTACCGTTGTCCCTGGTGGAACGACATCTGGGTATGAGATGGAATGAGAATAGACATAAAGGAATGACGAGAGGGTAAGGAAAATAATGAGGGACTAAGTACAGGTAAGGGAGGCTTAGTGACTTTGTATATTCACCCTGTTTACCTACCTGAGCTAGAAGAGCTACGAGGGACGACCGTATCCGTGTCAGATAAGTATGTAAGGAAGTTAGAAAGGACATACAGGATAGACCCTTGAGATAGGATGCTGAATAGGCGAGTGTTTTTGTTTTTCTTATAACAGGGGGCTTGAAGGGGAAAGTCTGTCAAGATGCCGGAGAGCGGTGGTATATCGGATGGCACCGGGAAGATCCTGACGCTCGAGGACCTTATTGCGGCCATTGACCGGCATGAGAAGACTCCAAGCAATGTCCCTAAGATCGACACTTTTCACTTCAATGGAGGAAGGGTCTCAGACTGGTTGGATCGGGTGGAACAGGCAATGATGAGACTATCGGATGCAGTGAAATTCCAGCGGATTATGAGATATGTGCTTTATGGGCACCATCAGGAGGTGCAAAGGGTGGTCAGTGACGCCAATGACGATTGGGCCAGGTTTAGAGAGGGAATGCAAAGGAAGTATAGGCTGGGCGATGGCCTGCTAACCACTGGGGAACTGGAAGCAATGAACAAGGATAACTTCACTACGATAGAGGCCTTCGTACAAGAATTTAAGAAGAGGGCAAGGAAGGTCCACGGGATCTCTGAGGAGACACAATGTGCCATCTTTCTGGGACTACTTACTGCGTCGGAGGCCCAGGAGTTGACAGGTCATGGAGGGGGGAGTACTAAGCTCACCTGGGCCACCATTGACAAGGGGGTGGAAGATGGGAGCCTAGACCAGGTGGAGCAACACCAGGTACGGCTGCAAAGACAAAAGAGAAAGGAGAGGGATGCTACGACATCTGGGACTCCAGGGGTAAGAAAAATTATCACCGACATACTAACAGAGTTAGGCCCGGTGATACAGAGAAAGGTGGCCGCGGCAATTCAGGGAAAGGCCAAAGAGGTCGTGATAGAAGAAGTTGTCCAGAAAGGGTGGGAAGAAGAGGAGACAGTGCCCCCGCACCTCTCGAAAGTGCAGCGTAAGCAGCGCAATTTGACGCAAGGAGGGTAAGGTTCGGGAAAGGGCCAGATGCCCCAAGCGGTGGTAGTTGCCTCCCCGAGTGTGTCGGCACCTTCGAGTAGTGAAGGTCCTTTGCAGGCGCCAGTACCACCTTTCGGACAGTGGCCATGACCCGTGATCAACACCTATGTACCTTGGGGAGGGCCGGCACCCTCTGGACAGGTAGTACCCTATGCTGGGCCACAGACGAGTATGCCGCCCCCTATCTATCCCGCATCCCAGGCCCAGCCTATGGCCCCGCCGCCATCACTCGCTCCTAGTTCGCAAGGGAGCGTGGCTGGAGGTGGGAACCAGGGTCAGGACAATCAAGGCAATGGAGGAAGGGGTGGTGGAAGGGGGAGAGGCAGGAATGGCGGCGGTCGGGGATGACAATGGAATGACCAAGGTCAGGGAAACCAAGGTCAGGGGTACGGAAGAGCCCGCTTTGACTGGAGGACGGCCATCTGCTAACATTGCGACCAGCAGGGCCACACTATTCGGTTCTGTAACATAAGGCGGGAGAATGAGAAGAACGGACTCATTTCCTCCACCATGGATGGAAACATCTATGACCAGTTTGGAGATTATATTGACAGAAAGTTTGGCGGAGCGAGAGCGGAGGTCCAACGAAGGGCGGCAGCCGGACCGCCTCCCCCTGCCATGTTCAGGTTATGGCAGGACAAGGAAGGACCACTAATTGGGGTAGAGGAAGTGGGAAGTGATGAGGAAGTAACTCAGGAGCTACAAAGAGGAGGTAAAAATGAAGAGCCCATAATCATCGAGTCGGACGACGAGAATGAGGAAGAACGGGTGGAACCTCCCTCCGTCTTGCTGGGGAAAATGGAGGACCTGCTGGACAAGATGGGGAGGTACCAACAGAAGTTGGTGGACCTCTGCGAGGAGGTGAAGAGGTGGAGGTCTAATATCCCCATGGTGTTCCTCTACGACCCCGGTCTGGAGTCAACGCCCAGACAACTCGGAGTAAATGTGGTAAGGTCGGACCAACAATCGGGGGTGATGGGGAGACCCCTCACCCCGCAGGCCCGGGTGACACAGGCAGCGCGAATGCGAAGTCAGGCCATGGCCAGTGCAAGTCAGGGACCTCCTCAAAAAGAGCCTGAGCCAGGAAAAAGGAAAGAGGCCGTGGAAGTGGAGGATGATGATGAGGAGGAGGAAGAAGACGAGAGTTTGCGCCAGGAAGAAGACCAGAGGGCGGAGCTGAGGGCGAAGAAGAGGGAAGCCAGGGAAGAGACCGAGTCAGTCCTGCGCGACGTGCTGCCCAGGAAAAAGAAATACGCGGTCTGGCTGGAAGAAGGGTTTGACGTAGAGAAGGTGATCGATAGGTTGTTAGAGGGGCATAACGACCTCATGACCTTGAAGGAAATCTTGGCATCAGCCCCTAAGCTCCGCGATGGGTTGAAGGGGAGCTTGTCGCGGCGTCTGGTACCCAACGTCCATCTGGGTATGATCCTGCCTAAGGAGGCAGAGTGGGCAGAGTCGGGAACGAAGATGGACTGGAAGTGTGTGGCCTGCGGCACGGTGGACTGGGTGGTGAAAGGCTCCAAATGTACGGCGATGGTGGACACAGGGGCGAAAATGAATATCATCCGGGAGACGGATGCCATCAAGGTCGGACTGGATATAAACCAATCTGACTGCGGCATTCTACATGGGGCAAGCTGCAGGGCCGTGTTCTGTGGGACAGCCTCGAATGTGTTCATCGAGGTTGGGAAAGTAAAGGTCAGGGCATGCTTCTTCGTCATGCCAGACGTGGATCACGGGATTGTTTTGGGGAGGTCCTTTCTGAGCAGGACAGAGACGGTGATATTCAATAAGCATGATGGGACCCTGATTCTTCTTTTGTGTGACCCTGCCTGCGGAAACTATGAAATCATCACCCGCAGGAATACAGGGCCAAAAAGCATAAGGAACCGGCCCAATCCAGGGTCTTTCACCATCGGGGAGCCAGAAGAGGAAGAGAGGGTTGAAGCATTCTCCCTCAGCCTGTCGGACGTGGGAAAGGCCATGGATTTGGTGGGCGCACATGAGATGGCAGATCCGGATGCCATCCAGGCATTGAGGGAGCAGGTCCTGGAATGCCCCGAGTCAGGGAGATTGGAGCTGGTATATCGTCTTCCAGATGGCAGGAGGAACCCGGCGTTGATGCAGGCTCAATCTGTGAGTCGGCCTTTTTAGGGGGCGGCTCAAGCAGGGTTCCCAAAGGCGGTACAAGATGGTAGACCAAAAGTGTCGCCCAGTCCCCGTCCTCGTTACTGAGGACGAGGAGGTGTACTATGAACGAGGCCGGGGGTTGATACGGCGGACGAAGGAGAAAGCCACAGCAGGGTCATGTCGTATCAACGAAGGAAACGAGGAGAAGCTGATCATAGGAGAGCCCGACTTCCTATTGCCTCGGGAACGAGCCTTGATGGTAGCGGTAGTGAAGAAGAGGCATCGCGCCTACGCGTTTAGAACGGGACGCTGCGGTGGGTGCAAGACCTGCAAAGATTAAATGTGGTGACAGTGCGGGATGCTGGAGGATTGCCCAATGCAGATGCGCTGTCAGAGTCCTGTGTTGGAAGGCCTATAATTTCGCTTATAGACCTTTACTCAGGATATGACCAGTTTCCGGTCTATCCGCCAGACAGGCCAGTGACGGCTATGCATACGCCTCGAGGACTGATCCACATGAATGTGGTTCCGCAAGGGTGGACCAACGTAGTAGCGATGGTCCAACGGGCCATGATTCGGGTTATGCAGTCAGTCAGCCCACATATCACTCGGCCATATATTAATGACTTGGCAGTGAAAGGACCGGCAGTAAAAGAGAGTGACAAGGTTTTGCCCGGGGTAAGACGTTTTGTCTGGAAGCATATCCAGGACCTCGAGAAAGTCCTAAGCCTGCTCGAGGAGCATAACCTCACGGCAAGCGGGGTCAAATCCAGACACTGCATGAGGGAAGCGACTATCTTGAGGTTCGTCTGTAGTGAGAAGGGCCGACGACCGGATATAAAGAAGACGAACAAGATTACTGAGTGGTCAGTTCCATTCCACTCAATAACTGATGTCCGGAGCTTCCTTGGGACGTGTGGATTTTGGAGGGCCTTCGTCAAGAACTTTGCCGCTAAGACTGAGCACCTGAGAAAGCTAGTTCGTCAGGATCAGGAGTGGGTTTGGGGCGAAGAGCAGGAAGAGGTGATGGCCTGAATGAAGGAGGAGTTCCGAGAAGGGGGTTTGGTGTTGGGGCGCCAGACTATGACGCCACGGAGACGAGACCCTTCATTGTTGAAACGGATGCGGGACCAACTGCCTTAGGTGAAGTTTTAATCCAGGCAGACACGGAGGGAAAGGAAAGACCTTTGAGATTTGAGAGTCGGACTCTCTGTACGACCGAGAGGAACTATTCTCAGTTCAAGAGGGAGACCTTTGCCGTCCTCCACTGTCTGCGAATCTTTCGAAACTACATCTTCGGCAGGAGATTTATATTGAGAGTGAACCCAACTGCCCTGACCTACTCTCTAAGGAATTACGTTTCATCGGATCCAACAATTGTCAGGTGGCTGACGTACATCTGGATGTTTAACTTCGAGTTAGAACGGATCCTTGGAAACAAGAACCGGGCGGACGGGTTGAGTCGTATCAACTGGGATGGTCAAGAGGGAGAAGCAGTGGAGAATACGCCCCCAGTTGACGGATTTTTGGATAAAGAGGAAGATGTCCGTCTCCACATTAACAAGTGGTCGCCGCGAGTGCCCAGTTGTGTGGGTCATCCTATCTGAAAAGCGCCGAGTGGATATGAACGGAAGGCGAAGCTAGTCCTTAAGCCGTTCGAGGAAGAAGATCCCTGGGGCGGTAAAGATGTTCAGTGGATGATGAAGTTGGCGTTAGCTGGATCGCATAACTTAGTGGAGGATATGAGGGCAATAGAGGAAGGGTCAGGCCAGGTAGAAAGGTATGAGGAACTGATGGGGGGGATGTATCTCCTCGTCTACACATTACTGGAGGAAATCCTCGATCAAGTAGGCTCGTTGAATCCAGCAGGGAAGGAGGACGAGGTGCCCGAGAGCCAGGACGACGAGTTTGAAGAGGGTGAGGTCAAAGATGTCATTCGAAGCAGGGCTTAGAGATGCGAGCGATAGGGCTCAGAGGATGATGCAGCGTTACTTGGTGTGAGATGGTCATCTTTTCGTAAGGAGAGAGGTGGGGAATCCCAGGAGAGTCGTCTGCGGTAGGAATCGTCAGATTGACGTCATGGCGGCACTTCACGATCGCATTGCAGGAGGGCATCGAGGGATACAAGCCACATACGCCAAAATAAGTGAGTTGTACTTCTGGGATGGAATGATGGACATGATCGGGAAGTTCTGTCGATCTTGCGTGCCCTCCCAGGAGAGGTCCCGTTTGAGGCAAGGAGAGCCGTTACATCCAAGGTTAGAGCGAGAGGTGGGGGCTGTAGTGCATCTTGATCTGCTTTTCATGCCGCTTGGGGATCAAGGCTATAACTATATCTTCGATGCGCGCGATAACCTGTCTGGCTTCGTAGACGGACGGGTCATTCGTACAAAGACTGGGTCAGTCTTGGTTAGCTGCATCGAGGAGTACTACCTGCGTTATCCTTTCGTAAGGGAGTTCGTAATGGACAGGGGATCGGAGTTTACCTGCCGGGAGGTGCAAAAGTTGCTATCAAGGTATGGTGTAGTAGCTAACTACACCATGGCCGCGCGCCCCCAGGCAAACGCTCCGGTAGAACGAGGACATAGTACCATTACGAACCTCTTGGCTAAGTGGACCGAAGGTAGGCTTAATCAATGGCCGAGGTATCTAAGGGCGGCATTCTTTGTCGAGAACATTACAGTGAAGAGATCCACCAAGTACGCACCGGTGACGTTGTGGTATGGAAGGCACGCCACCTTCCCTATCGAGAGTTTTCTTAAGATCTGGAGGCGCCAGGATCTGGAAGTCAACTTGTCTTTTGAGGAGTTACTCGATGGGGGCGATAGAAGAAAGAATCATCTAATCAGGTGGAGAGGAGCTGTATGGATGATAAGGCTCGCTGGGACCAGTCTGCGTGAGTGAGGAAAGTACCTTTGTCAGTCGGGGACGTCGTACTCCTATACGATTCATCATTGGAGAAACAATGGTCCAAGAAGCTCGACAAGAAGAGTTAAGTCCCTACCGAATCGTGCGGTGTGAAAATTTTGAAGCATACCAGATTGAAGAGTTGAATGAGACTGAATGGAAGGACTGAGTATCTGGAACGCGGCTGAATAAATTTGTGGCGAGAGAAGAGGTGAGAGAGATGATTTGACTTCCCTTAGAGTAAAAGCGACAGGATGTGTAGGTCAGATAGGTTGCATGCTGCATGAGTATGGTCTGGTCTGAGCTTGCTTTGATTATCGCCTGTTTGCTTACCCCAATGTGTGCCTGTTGTCCCCTTCGCCTGTTGTGCAGGTCTGACTTTACGAAGACAGCCATGCCAAGAGGAGGGAAGGGGACATGGCCGCCACGAAGGCCGTTGGGGGCATCAGGAGGATATGAGCGGCATGGGCCTCGCCATCGAGAGAGTACTCCGGTATACGATGATGGGGATATCGAGCTATTCCTGGACAGTTTCTGGGACCATGTCAGGCGTATGGGCTGGACCGTGGCCCAGGCGATTGAGAGATTGAGGGGAGCCAGCAGGTTCGAGGAGCCCATTGCCAGGATCCGTAGGGAGGCAACGACGAGGCAAGAGGTGGAGATGAAGATGCAGGAGCTACGACCCTCGCCTTTGGGACCTGATGGCAGACCGATTCGCCTAGAGATCGAAAATGCGGCGGTCTTTATCCCCGCCTTCGAGTGGTTTATGCAGGGACAGGGTACACCGAAAGATGATTGGGCGAGGACGCTACCCCTCTGGACCAGAAAGGCAGAGAGACCACTGGCTAGGCAGATCAGAGATATGGCCCGAGATTGGGAGAGTTGCAGGGCGCACTTGATGGAGGCCTTTCGGCAGCCAGAGTCGCCTCGGCCCCGAGTTGAGAGGCGCCAGAGGAGCAGGAGGCAGAGGGACCCTGAGCCCAGTGAGGCGAAGCCATCCCGAGGGGGACAGAATGCCCTAGCTAGGAGAGAGGAGGAGCAGGAGCCTGAGGATGAGGAGCGAGGGGCATATCCTGAGTATGGACTGGGACCAGTGGAGTTCTGTCGTTTTATCGAGGGTGGATTGAGGAGGTCGCCAGTGCGCATACAGGAGGAGGCGCCGACATCTGAGGGGCCATTGAGGGAGTTGGAGGCGCACCTGGACGTCTCTCGATGGGGGGCGTCGCCTCGAGGCGAGGAGCGTGGAGGACAGGCAGAGGAGGTACCATGGTAGGAGGTGCTGCAAAGGAGGTACCACGAGAGGAGGTGCCGCAAGAGGAGGTACCACGAGAAGAGGTCCGAGATACTCAACGAGAGAGAGGGTTAGGCGATGAGGGGAGACGTGCAGGGAAGGAAGTGATAGAGGTTGGAGAGGACACGCCCCCTCAGACGCCAGCGGTGGGTTTGAGACTCGGGGATGCACCAGGGAGCACTCGCCAGGCAGGGGAGGGGTTGTAGAGAGAGGAGGCCCCTTTGCCTTCATCAGAAAAGGCTCCTTCGCCAGAGAGAAGAACAGAAAGGAGGAGAGGGACTGCAATTGTACGGAGAGAGGCCTTGGCCCTGATTGACAGGCACCTGGCAGCTCATGCCCTGGAGCACCCAGACCTGGAGGAACCAGCACCTGCAGAGCCACGCCAGGAGCTGTGCCAGCCCGAGAAGGAGGTGGAGGCAGAGATCTCGAAGAGGGTCGACCTCCGCACGAGGGAGAGAGCGCCAGCTGGAGAAACAGCTGAAGAAAAGAGGGCGAGAAGAAGCACGAGAATAGAAGAGATATGGCAAGAACGACAGAGGTTGGAGGCAGCGGGTCACTTCTGGAGCAGCACCAGGAAAGGCAGAGATTGGAGGCAGCAGGGGCACTCCCGGGTCAGCCACCCAGCGCGCCAGCTAAGGCCCCGGAAATCCCAGAGATGTGGAAAGACTTCTGGGGGCAGAGAGGAGAGGAGCTTCCTTCGCCAACCAGAGCCGGGTTTGGGGTAGCAAGGAAAGCGGAAGAAAGGTTGGATCGCAAAATCAAGTTCCTGGCCAAGACAACTTTTGACTGACACTTGTTATTGGAGAGCGATCTGGCGGGGAAGAAGACAAAGGAAGAAGGCCATGGAATACGCCTGGAGGCTATGGAGGTGGAAATCCAGGAGCTCAGGGCATTGGTGGTCAGTCAGGCAGCTATCATCGAGAACCTGAGGCAACAATTTCAGGGAAGAGTGGACAAGCCAGAGAGCAGCCGGTAGGGAGAGCAGAGACAGTCAGGACATGGTTTGCCAGGACAGCCATCTGCAGCAGAGCCCCGCCAGGAGCCACCTATGGGGAAAGTTATCCTGGAGCCAGAGGAGGCGAGAGCCCAGAGGGAGGCGAGAGCCCAGAGGGAGGCAGAGAGAGAGACCTTCGAGTTCAGAGCCCCTACTAAACTCGCTACACTACCTATAGTAGCGGCGGACCCAGTCATGCCGTTGGCAGTTGAGGAGGGGCTACCACCATCCAGCAGTGAGCCAGCTCAAGGCTCAGTAGAGGGATCCATGGACGTGCTCCTGGAGGTAGTGCATACTATGCAGGACGAGGCGAGTTTGTTTTCGCATGAGCAGAGGATAGAGGAGCCTCTTGAGAGGGAGATGGGGATTGAGACAGAGGGTGGCATTGAGGGCAGGCCCCAGAGACTTGACAAGCCTGAGTGTGGGCCAGAGGGGATTGGGGATCGACCAGGGCCGAGTACCCAGGAGTTGGAGATAGGGGAGGAACCTTTGGATATGCATCAGAGCCATGAGCTGGGCAGGGAGGCCAGTGAAGCGCCATCATCGTCAGGATCCCAGAGGGAGAAGAAAAGATCAACGAAGTGGTTTGATACATCCTGCTTCTTCTGTACAAAGAAGGGTCATCGAGCCTTGCAATGTCCTGAATTCCTAAAGAACAAGGCTGAAGGGAAAGTTACAGAGGAAAATGGCAGGATGTATGATAGACAGGGAAGGAGAGTAGAGAGATCGGCAGATGGGGGTAGGGCTCAGTTGTATAGGCAAAACCAGGAGGAGATGAGTGAGTAGGACTGGTTTGCCTATATGATTGGTTGTTGTATATATGGTCTGAGCTTAGGATTAGATGATATCGTTTAGGCTTAGATGGTCACCTGCATCTAATAGATGATTTGGATTTGGACTTCTACAGAGGTTGTCATCTTGAGGGCCAGGACGTGATAGATGGGGCGTGTACATATTTGGGTGGCCTACATCCTGATCTTTGAGAGACAAACCCAGCATGTATTCTGAGGGTAGTACTAGTGTGAGTTGGATTTGTTCGAGACGAGTGAGCTATGGTTTGGACGCATTTGTGTGCGGGCATTTTTTATCCCTGAGTGTATATTAAATCGAGATTTTTCTTCCCAAAACTATTCTTTGTGTATGACGACCACTCTCACACTCACATGTGTGGTTCTTACTCTGATGGATGATGGTTTTGTGTGAGAGATGTTCAGGATGCATCTCATGTTAATGGATGTGAGTTATGTAAAACTGTTTACTCTTCGGTATACTCGTGCGGCCTGCTCACGGGCGGGTAATAGGGCAGAGTATAAGGAGAGGGAGCGCAGTCTGTTTGTGAATGATCGTAAGGATCCTGAGGGATTTGTGGATCTTTGAGACCCGAAAGTTTTATCATGCTGGATGTTGATTGCTTAAGTTGTGACGAGGACCCATAAGATGGTCTCTCAGTGATGGTTGTTCCATAATGAGACCCCCTTAGATTTTTAGAAAAAGGGGGATGTTTGGCTTTATGATGAGACCCCTCGTGATTTATGGGAGAGGGGGTGTTTTGCTTTGTGATGAGATCCTCTTGGATTTTTGGAAGAAGGGGGTGGTTTTGGGCTGTTGGAAGACTCACCCCTAAAGGTGGGTGGACTGATTAATGGCATGGAGAGTTGTCTGATGAGTGATAAAGTCTGACGAAAAGGACCACGTTTGTTTGAAGTGTTTAATGGATACAGGGCGAGAGATGTCTCAGAATAAGTGGCTGCTGACACTGATCAAGTCAGGGATCACGACCTTGTGGGCTTAGTGGTGATTATGTTTGTGATTGTGTGAAGGATGCCATGCCTTTTGAGGGAGAGCTGGTAAATGGCTTCAGGCCCCTGCGTAACCTCGTAGTAGGCCCGTGATTTTTGTTTTGAGACGTCTTGTTTAACCACTTGTGCTAGTCCTGAGACATATTGAAGAGAGGTCAAGTTAACAGAAAAGAAGCTTAGCGCCACTAGGGCACAACCCCAGTGGATGGCTGTTAGCCGGCGCAACCTGGTTGCGGGACCGCGGAGTAAGAGTTTACGGTGAGTTGCCTGCCCCAGGGAAATTGCTTCCCGTGGCAAGAGTCAAGTCTTTTTTTTTTTTTTGAAGCCTTGATTGGATGGTTATCAGGGGAGAGTTCATCGCTGCGCAACCAGCGAGGGTACCACCGCTAGATAACAACGCGGTGGGCCGTAGTCCTGGTCTGATCAGCCAGGCTATGGTGGACCAAGATGGAGACCTGGCCTTTTTGTACTAGACTGCAGAAAGAGCTGAGTGAAGATTATGTATATATACACATGTGTGTTTGATTGTGAGGAACTTTTCGGGAAGGAAGGCAAGTGTGCCTTCAAAGGTCTCGATTAGGGCCCGCGTCCCTGGTTTTAGCCACGACTAGGGACACTTAACGAGAAGCCGAAGGTTGTCTAGGGCCGGGGTGAGAGGATAATTAGGAAGGCCTTTGAAACTTATGTTGTCAGTATCCTATTGACAGCGGCGACGGGGACCCGGATTGGAACCCTGACAGCATATAGTTGCAAAGGCATGTTTTGATGGAAGCCTCCACCTCGGGTTTGTCGGCTAATCGGATTGGTATCTATTTTCGTCAGCATTTTGGGTATCTGATAGTCTTTCGATTTTGGGAAGCGACGAGGGAGTCGCTTAATATGGACCGGTAAGCGACGGGGACGTCGCTTATTATGGTCTGGTAAGTTGTCGGTGCAAATACCCTTACAAGGGTACTCGCACTGGATTTTTGTAGTTAACAGAGGAATGGGTCGATTCAGAATTTTTGGGAAGACTGCGCGAGTTGCGGGGGCGCGCGGACTAAAGATTTGGCGGTAATATTTAGGGTTAGAAAGTGTGTGGGCGCGCAGTATTGACGCGTGATTTCTTCTCCCTTTTGATCGCAATAGAAGGCACGGCATGGTTGTTCGTTGACGTGCTCTATCATAACATGTCATTTTTGTTTTGATTAAACTGATTAAACCATGAGCGCTTTTTCTCTGGTTCTGCGTGGTACGATGAACGGTTTAGTAAGCCGGTGTGGACTTACGCGGAAATCCAGAGGATGAGACCTGATGGATTTGGTTAAGGACGGGTGGCCACGGCAAGGCCGGTAGGCCGACATGGGTTTTTGGGTGGTCTTCTGTGCGAGTGTGGGCCGGGCAGTGGCGTAAGGTGTCTCCTTGGACCCAAAAGTCGTGCGCACCCTTGTCATTAGGAGATTCGAGTCCACAGGTACCAGGCTTGGGCTTAGCCCTATAGGTTACGACATTGGGCCGACACTACGGGGGTTCGGGGATCGAGGCCAGCAGGCGATGGCGCAGCAGCAGCGGAACAGCATGGAGCGAAACCTGAGGGGTTGAGGGCCCGGAAGGGCTATCCCCCTCGGTTTTGTTAGCGGGTGCGGCGGCGGGCCCGACCTACGGGGCCCTCCCTTTTCCTGTATTGTTTCGCTGTTAAATTCTTATGTACCCCTTGTTATTTTTGTTTCAGCCTTTTTACTCGCACCCCGCTTCGGGGCGCGATACCAGGGTTGAAATAGGGTCACGTGGGGTGGGTTGTACTCGGAGGATTGCTTGAAGTGCGATTATAAACAGTTTATGCGGCCGCGCTGCGGTGCTGAGGGTGTGGCAGGCCCCAAGAGCTTAGCTCAGTGGGTACACCTACAAACTAATAGGAATACTGACCGGTATTCGAACTCAGATGTGGGATTTGATGAGTAAAACCCATATCCCGGGCTCGCCCTAGGCCATTTCGCAGGGCTGCAGAGGGATTGCGGGGTGCGTCCTTCGGGGCGTCCAAAGAAAATTGGAATGATACGGAGAAGGCTTGCGTGGCCCATGTACGAGAATGGGAGTACCCATGCTAGCTGGGCCACGGGGGTATCTGGCCGGAATCCGGCCCCGCATGCCATCGGAACCTGTTCGAGGATACTAAACTCGCACGACTGCAGCACCACGCACCGCGATGACAGGGCCAACCGGAGAAAAATTGTGCAGACGGGGGAGGCCGGGAGGTACCTGGACTCGGGCG